GCCAGTAGTGAAGAAGGACGGTGGAATAAGGTTGCGCGGCGACTACAAGACCACCGTGAATTTTTGCCTTGACACTGACCAGTATCCGCTCCCGAGAGTCGACGACTTGTTCACAGTGCTTTCAGGAGGCCAGGAATTATCACCAGGTGGTGGTGGCTGAAACGTCGAGCAAGTACCTAACTTTAAATACACAAATAAGGACTGTTTGCCGTAAACAGGTTACCGTTCGGAGTCTCCTCGGCACCAGCCATTTTTCAGAGAATCATGGACACAAGGCTGAGAGATCTGAAAGGCGTGAGTTGCTACTTGGATGACGTCCTCATCACCGGCAGGACGCCGGAAGAGCATTTGGCCAATTTGGTAGCAGTCCTAAAGCGGTTGTCGGAGCGTGGAGTTCATGTGAAGAAGGAAAAATGTGCGTTTTTCCAAAAGGAGCTGCGTTATCTGGGCCGCGTGATCAGTGCTGCAGGTGTCAGCACGACGCCAGAGAAGATCGAGGCTCTGCTGAAGGTTGCTGCACCCTCAAGCAAGCAGCAGCTCCAGTCATTCCTGGGTATGGTAAATTACTACGGGAAGTTTGTTCCACGACTATCCACCCTGGCGAGCCCGCTCTACAGGCTACTGCGTCAAGACCGGCGCTGGTGTTGGGACAAAGCGTGTCAAGCAGCGTTCTAGGAAATCAAGACAGTGCTAGCAACACCATCGATTCTGGCACACTACGACCCAAGTAAGCCATTGCAAGTTGCGTCCGACGCATCCCAGTATTGCATAGGCACTGTTCTGTCTCATGTGACTGAAGATGGAAGCACTCGTCCTGTGGCGTATGCATCATGCACACTGACCGAAGCTGAAAAGAAGTACAGCCAACTTGAAAAGGAGGCACTAGCCATTATTTTTGGGATCAAAAAGTTCCACTTATACATCTACGGCCGAGTTTTCACTCTCCTCTCGTCACGGATCACAAACCGCTGCAGACTATTTTGGGCCCAAAGACAGGCATTCTGCCTATTGCGGCAGCACGTTTGCAGCGCTGGGCTGTTACCTTGTCAGCGTACAAGTACTCGTTGGTGTACAAGAGATCCAGTGACAATGCAGAGGCCGATTTTTGCTCAAGGTTCCCTCTCGAAAGTGGGAAAGACGATAGTTGCAAGGGCGAAGAGTCCTTCTATGCACTGCGCCTAGAGTCAATGCCGGTGTCCTCTAAGGAGATTGCACGAGCTACTTGGCGCGACCCGTTACTTTGTCAAGTACTTGAATACACATGCATGGGTTGGCCGACGCACGTGCAAGAACAACAACTCAGACCGTTCTTTGACAGACGCTTGCAGATGAGTGTTCATCAAGGGTGCCTAATGTACGGCATGAGGGTTGTTGTTCCGTCCCAGCTGCAGGAGCCCGTGCTCGACAAACTGCATCAAGGCCATCTCGGCATCGTGCGAAGTAAGGAGCTGGCTCGCAGCTATGTTTGGTGGCCATCAATTGACTCAGACCTTGAAAGAAAGGTACGAAGCTGCCAAGCATGCCAGCAACAGCGTAATGATCCATGCAAAGCGCCTCTTCACCCCTGGGCATGGCCGACGGCTCCGTGGAGACGACTACACCTGGACTTTGCAGGCCCGTTCCGCGGAACCATGTTCCTAGTCGTGGTGGACGCGCACTCAAAGTGGCCAGAGGTGTTCACCATGCTGAGCACTATGACCGAGCGCACTGTGCCTACGTGCCTACGTGAACTTTTCTGCAGGTTCGGAATTCCGGAAACAATCGTTTCAGACAACGGGCCGCAGCTGGTGTCCGAGGAATTCAAGGTGTTCATGAGGAACAACGGGGTCAGACACGTCGTGAGCACCCCATACCACCCGAGCACAAACGGCCTGGCAGAACGGTTTGTGCAGACACTGAAGTCTGCACTACGGAAGTCATCCGCTGGTGAGTCTCTGGAAGAAGCATTGCAACACTTTTCTGACGTACCGGAGTACTCCACATTCAACAATAGGAGAGACGCCAGCAAACTTGTTGATGGGCAAAAGATTTCATTCCAAGTTGGATGTAATCAAGCCTACGGTAGAGGGGAAAGTGATGCACAAGCAATTTATACAAAGTAAGCAACGGAGGACAAGCAGAGAAGAAATCTGCCCTGAGGACAATGTCCTAGTGCGAAATTACAGGAGTTCGCCGAGGTGGCTACGTGGTATTGTCCTCAAGAAGACTGGTCCAGTATCCTACCAAGTCCAGGTTACCACGCCTCGAGGCAAGTTCATCTGGGGTCGGCACCTCGATCGACTTTTGAGCCAAACACGGCCAACGGCAACGCCGGTACCTTCGGACACCGACGACTCTGAGGGGTTCCTGGTCTTTTCACCAGGCAAGCCAAGTGTCCCGACCACGGTACAAGACTCTGGGCCACAGCAGCCTCACACCATCGCGCAACGGGATCCTCTACCTCCTACAGGCCGATCTACTTCTTAAGGACGCTACCCATTGAGAGAACGGCGTCCGCCTGACAGATACCAAGCTCGCTCCTAACTTTCGTATAATACTGCCGTTGGTGCTGCTACGTAATTAAAGGGGGAGGAGTGTTATGTTGTTACCGCCAAGCGCGCGCTACTGGGACTATAGTGGCGGCGCTTTAGTTCCTTCGCTCTTCTTCTTTATCGTCATGTCAGTTTTGATAGCACGAGAGGTTTGTTCTAGTTCCACGCTCCATGGAATAAACCTCGGGCCATGGTCCTTCGGTCTACTGTGCCTGTTGCCCCATCAAGACACGACACCTTCCATCTGTTATAAATAACGTGAAATAAATTGTGCATTCCGTGGCATTTAGCAGAACTACCGAGCAAATGTCACATGCGGCCTGATAGCCGAGTTGTATTCTGAAATTTTCTTAGATTCTCGGTCACTGAAGAAAATCGGGTTATGGAAACTGCAGTTGATTGCGTGACGCTTGTCGGAAAAATGTGCAACGCCGACTGCAAGCAAGGCGAAAATTTTTTAATCGCCACTTTCGATCACTTTTAGTGCGAAGCTCCCGAGCCAAAACTCTGGTCACTTTGTGGTGGCAAGTTTGACAGGAGACGTCGAAACAGTAAAGTCAATATTTTCATGGGAAACATCAAAATTTTTTGAAAAATGTTTTTCACTTTTTCAGAAAGTGCCGTCACGGATGTCAAAATAACGGTAAAATTATTTTGATGGTAGACGTTGAAATAGTCGCGGCCTTTTATTTTGTACTTGAGATTTTGAACATGTTGCCTTTATTCAAGCTCGCTTGCGACTTACATTCCCTACTTGTGGGTCTTAGGTAAATTTTTTGCTTACATTGTGATGCGTCTTTTTTGCCGTCGACAGGCATTTTTTGTGGCAGTTGTTGCGTGGGAGGTTAAAAGTACATTTATAAGCATATAAGTAGGCTCTCTGGTTGCTAAAGGTGTTAATTAGTTTTTTTTTTCTAAATGTGAGCTTCCCCAGCATTCATTTACATCATTGGTCTCAAACACGCGGTCCGCAGGTCACATGCGGCTCACGACTTGCTGGTAGGTTGCCTGCAAGCATCTCCTGACTGCAGGCCCCCGTTCCCATGCCTTGAGCGCTGCATGCGTCACAATGGTCTTACGTCGTTGAATAATTTTTGTCGAAAACGTGGCTCTGCTCTTATGTGCTCACATATGTGCAGTACTCTTTTTTTTCATTGACCATTGTGTCATTTTCATTTTTACTTTCCAGCTGTTTTTCAAGTTAATCTCCTGTCCGACAATCCCACTACTATACTATGCTTCACCTGGAGCGCGAGCGTATTAAAAGTTACAAGTGTTAGCTTTTCAGTTTGAACATTTCTGCCATGCACATGTCGTTCAAGGCAACATGCGTGCAGCTTCCTCTTCACTCGCATTTAAACTGGAACGAAGTAGAGGCTATGAACGTGAGCTCTTTGCTCGAGGATGGCTCCTCGGCCGCACAAGCTCCCACGCAGCAGGAGAAACTGCCAAACTGATTAAAAATGCCAGCACATTGGTGGGGTAGTGCCATTTTAAATCAGCTTAAAATATCTGGTACAGGCCCAACAGTCATGAGCGAGTGGAAGCTGAAGATGTCAAAAGCAAACCTAAAAGTTCACAAAAAAGAAGAGAAAAGCAGAGAGCATGAGTTCTTTTATTTAGGAAATCTCTGGTGTGTCTCAGAACCACTCAAATGCTTTGCTATGGGAAAAATCATTGCTGCATCTTTTTCTCCAAAACATGTGCTCTCTTCTTCTTCGCCTCGGCCCTACATTGTTGACCATCAATCTTATTGGGGGGGGGGGGGGGGGGGGGGGGGGCTATTTGGCTTTCATATTCGAATGAGCTTGAGACCTCTGGTTTACATTATGCTTCCAAAGTACATTGTTGCAGTTAATTTCACTTGTATTTCAAGCCTCTTGAGCTTCTCTTTTTGAGCAAAATCACTCTTTGTCATGGAAGCGAAGACCGATTACTGGCAGCCATCATGCTGCGGATTGATCACGTCAACTGTATCGGAGTTCCGAAACCGGTTGCCTGAAACCTGCTCTTATTTTAATGATATTCAGACACACCTGGTTAGATTTCCGGAACTTGCGAGTTGCATTTAGCGTTGCGGTTTTTCAAAGACCTTGTACAAATGTTGGAGACCTACGTGCCGCCTGAATGTGTATGCCCTCGAATTGCCCAAAATGGTTCAAATGAATGGCGAGAGATGGCACTAGCATGAAAGAAGGGGTGGCACCACCTGGGAAATGCTGGAGGCTTGTAGAGTCAGTAGCAAGGTCTAAGTATTGGGCGATACTGCTTATATTAACGCCTCTCATGTATCGAAAAACGGACTGTTTGTATTCATGGTGTCCTGTGAATACAAGCAGTGCTTGGCATTACAGTCTTCATTACTTTGGAAGTCATTTGTCTTTCCATGCCCACTCTTTTCTTACCTGCTGTTTTGACAGAGGGCTTTGCTAGTGTACCAAACTGTATACATGTGAAACTTAATTCCAGGCTCTGCCAGTGCTGCACTGCAGTGTGGCAAAAAGGACCTTGGAAATGAAGTTGCCAGGACACAGCAGCTTGCAGTCCCTCTGTTTAGTGAAGGTAAGGGCTGCTAGCACTATATATATATATATATATATATACTGTAAACGACTAAATTTTCGCGGAAACCTAATTTTCGCGAATTTTGCGAATCGCTTACAATTCATAAAAAACGCTACGGAATCTACACTCGATTCGCGAAAATTAGAACCCGCGAATAATTTAAAATTTTCTGCTTTGGCCCAATTCGTGAAAATTAAGTCGTTTACAGTATATATATATATATATATATATATATATATATATATATATATATATATATATATATATATATATATATATATATATATATATAGGGTGTTTCACGAAAGGTGAACAAATTCGATATTGCGAAAGCTATGCGTCGGAACAAAAAGCGGCTTGTGTCGTTTTGGTCCTGGGCCAGGGGCCTGTTTAGGAAAATTATTAAAGCGCAGAATAATTAGATTGTTAATTATTTTTGCGTAATTATCTTTTTTAATATTGTGTTTAAGGGCATGGTTTCAATTAGAAATTGCATAGCATCATCGAAAAACACTAAATCAACGTATTGCAGAACGATAGAAGGCACGCGAAGCATTTTACGGCTTTCTGAAAACCCGCACAAATTCAACGTGTTTTTAAGTTTCGGTTCGCTATCGGAGCGCATCTCGGCCCCGACGACATTGCGCCCCGTGGATAAATAGTGCAAACAGCCTTTGCTTTTTTTAATCTTAACGGACATCTTGCTGAAAGTCTGCCAATGAGGTTGCAGGTTTACCTTGGTCAGTCAGACCTACAGCCGTCATGAATAGCAGTGTAACATGCTTGGTGGCTCAAACATTCCCACTTCATTGCGAATATAGGTGCAGATATTTGCATACAATTTGCACCACTGTGCTTACTTTTTTACTACTTTCTATAAAAAAAATGTAGTAGCATTACATGTTTTTGCCCCGCTTCTATGGAAAAAGTTCAGCTAAAACTCAAAGAACTTGTAATTTTAAAGGCCAAAACGTGCTTTTTGGTTAAATTAATAAAAAGTATGAGGAATGTGGGTATTGTTTTAATTATTATGATGCTGGAACTTGAGCCCGATACCCACGTGCCCCACAAAAAATATATTTAGTCATGAAATGCACGGAATCAAAGGATCATCTGTGGCATTGGGCTAAAATGCTGGCATGGAAGATGCACTTCGCAGCGTTGTAACTTTGAAGGAAACAAAATAATGCACCATCTTTTTCAATATTAAACTCAAGATTATGGTGGAAAACTATCACTATAAATTTCGGTAAAATCGAAAATGTTTTTTTTAATTGTCTCTTGAAATTTAACTTTGTAATTTGGAGTGACATAAAAAATGTCAAGCTTTGAGATAAAGCAATAATTCATATATCATTCGAAAGAATGTTTTATTAAGAATATGACATGTATTTTAATGTTGTAGCTATTCAAGTTTTGTAGATGGCAGCTCTGAAATCTAGTGTCAAAATGTCAAAAAACTAATGTTTACACAATTTGATGTGAAATATACGACCTCCACAATGCTGTACATATTTCCCTCAATAGTTCCTATGATTTATTATAAGTGGAAAATATTTTAGATTTCTGATATTTGTGGTTTGCAGTGTAGGTGTCACGAAACATGTCATAAACAAAAACTTTACAAATCTAATATGCTGTTCTGGCTTACTAATATTTTTGTTTCTTTAAGTATTATGTTTTTTGCAAAATCTTTTCTGATTACGTTCCATACACATGTTGAGGAGTACCATATAAAAAAAAATGAACAAAAACAAAAAATATGTTTGAACTTACGTGCATGATCTTATCTGAACAGAGCCAGCTACTAAACCACTCTAAAAGTGTTGAAGATGCATCATATGAGAGCTTATACAATATCATTGTATGATTTACCTTGTTGAAGTCTTTGGACAAATCAAAATAAACAATATCAACTTTTCCCCGCATAATAACTATCTGTACTGTGTAATCCAGTAGAAAACAACTCCGTTTCTACAGATTGACCCTTTATAGATCCATGCTCAACAGTGGCTAATTTACGACTCAAGTAAAAAGAAAAACTGGCATGTATAACTATCTCGAAAACTTTTGAAAAAGCACATAACTAAAGCCCTACATATTCGTGGATTATCTGCGGATATCCGCAGTAAATTGGCAGATGCGGATAAAAATTGGACAAATTTTGGCAAGCTGCGGATCGGATGCGGATGTCAGGGAGTGCGGATGCGGATATCCGCGGATCCGGATCTAAATTATTGCCTGGTGGCATTCAGTTCATCAACTGAATGCCACCGGGCAGTTCATCGAAAAACCTGAGACGTTTTGTCACACACAACCCTGCTATTTTCGTAACAAACTATTTGCATCTCGCCTTGATTACAGGGGGGAGGGGGCATGGTTTGGTTAAGCGCGCCGTAGTGAATCGTGCGCTAGCTCTTAGCGGCTTAGTGAAGAAATGCGTTGTCGACAAAACGTCACAGGGGCATGTGTCCACAAAACGTACAGCGTCGACGAACCGTGTGTCCTTGAAATGTATGTCCATGAAAAGTTGTCCACGAAACGTATTTCCACAAAACGTGTTTCGAAAAAACGATAGGGATCCTAAGAAAGATCTGATTCTCACTGAAGATCGCTTCAGTTAGTGCGTTCCATCTCGTCAAAAATGCTATCTATAAAAAAAGTAAAGAATGCAGGGCATCGATCGTCTCGAAAGCTAGTACGTTGGCAGGGAAAGGGCGGAAGACTTTCTCCCGGCAGAGTGTCGTGAACTCCTAGGACAATCACATAACTGAGATCATTTTTCCTTCGAGGTAAGTGTCTCGGGACAGCTGATCGCTTTTAATATAAATACAATGAAACTGATAATGATAAAATGACATCGCCTTTGAATGGTGACCCAAAAATTTCTTTGTAAAAAGATAAGCAAACAACTTAAAAGTGCTATTTGTATCTTTTTTTTTTTTTTTTCATTTACGCTTGATGTTATGATATACAATGAATGCCTGGATTGTGAGTCGGATGTGGTTCCACATTTTGCGGATGCGGTTTGGATACAAATACAAAGTATTCGGATGCAGATTGGATACGGATACAATAATGTAAAAAGTTTGCGAATGCGGTTCGGATGTGGATAATCAAACTGTTATCCGCGCAGGGCATAGCAAAGACACGTTGATAGTTCTCTACCTTAGACATGTCACCAGATTTATGTGCAGGTGCTGCAACTGACTTTTTCCATGATGGAAACGCCTGTTTTTAATAAAAGGTTAAAAGCATGCTTTAAAGGAGTCATGAAACGCTTTTTCAACTTTTTCCTGTTTAGCTTTCCTCCTTAACTCATAAATCGCGCATTGTACCAAACAGTTCAAGAAGTCGGAAAGGGGGGAGACCCCTCTTGCTCGGAATCTCGCTTGGGTAGCCGGACACAGCCATTGTCCCCCTAGAAGATTAGCCCGTCGCTCAAAATTCCGACTAGTTGATTTCCCCACCCCGTTCACCCCGAAGCTGACAGTGCTGTGGAAGCTACGTGCTCGTTGGGCCAGCCACACATTTTCCACGGGATCACGCTCTCTCGCGCATACCGACCCGCAGAGAATGAGGTCAGGCGATGAAAGGGAGGCGGCTGATTGGTCCGGCAAGCGCGTAGCTTCCACCGCAATGTCAGCTTAGGGGTAAAGGGATTAAGTGAGGTCCGGTGTCGTGTGACGTGCGCTTGGGCCTGGTGACGCGCTGCGGGGGCCCGGTTATGGTGGCTAGTAGCCCGGTAACGCGCTGCGGGGTCCGCGGATGTATCACAGTGAAAAGGCGGAGAGTTTACGAAGGGAAGGAGGTACGAAATAGTCCGCTATGTTTTGCAAATTTTCATAGCGAAAGTCAGGCTTCTGACTTTTTCCTTTTGTTCTTTTGGCCCACTGAACGATGTGCTATTAGTAAAATCCCAGTATAAATTGATTTACTCCAGCCCAAAATTCGTTTCATGGGTCCTTTAATATAGAGGAGCAAATAGTTCAGTGCAGCCCTTATCAATAAAACTAGGTATAAAATCAACCCTGACAGACCTCTTGGGCTTTAACATTCATATTTCCTCTGAAATTTCTTCTATGTCAACTTTATTGGCAATCAGTGTCATTTCATTCAACATTACTCAAACGGCACAGTTGTGAAAACATCTGCTGAATAGCACTTACTAAAATAGTTAAAAAAGTAATGGCTACTTTTTCAGACGAAGTTACATAGTCATTATTATGACATAGCAAAATAACCTGCATTGGCTCCTTTGTGTGTTGCCTGACAAATCTCCAAATTCTCTAATCCTGACAAATCTAAAATAAGCAAAACACAACAGACCTCTAAAACTTGGAGGAAACATAAATTTAGGTGCCCAAAATTATTGTATTCTAACATAATTTTAGTGAAATTTTGTTCTAAAATAAAGATGAACTGCAGTTTGTGATGTCCTTCATCAGTAACCTTCTTGTTTCCATGCCTGGTACATCTACATGCAACTAAATAGCTAGTTCCTTGTTTGAGAGATTCGCTCCTACTGGGCATCCAGTCCTAACAAAAGGTTAAACATGAGAAACCAAAGTAGACATTGCCTTTTAGTTAGACAGGCCAACATATGAATCTTAACATATTTACAGTGATATGAATAAAAATGAAGTGCGTGTTTATTCTCTGAAAGCTCTTTTTGCTGCTTCAAAATAGACTTCCGACTTCTCCAAGAGCTGCTCCAAAATGACTTAGACCTATCTTATCACCCTAACTGCAGAAGTTGTGCAGATAATGATGTATTGCAATTATTTAATAAATACAAGTATCGGACAACACTTTATGGAGTAAGACCATTATGTGGTGAAATGCAACGAAAAATACTAATACAACGCATCGGCCAAGGTGCAGAGGGAGAGTAGAGTGACGAGTTGGAGCAACCGAATGGCACCCAATTCACATGATTCCGAGATGGCAGTGCTCATGCTACGGAGGGTGAAAATATCTATAGTTTGTGGAATACGTATACTTGAAAGATATGTTACTGATTTTTGTTGGGTTTTTCATGTCTGCCCTAATACATGTGAGGTCTTTGCTTTTATAGGTGATGGAGCCACACTTGTGGGGAACACCAGCTGCCCTTTGAAAGCCACCAAGGACATCCTGTTCAAATGCTGTTTCTGCACCTATGATACCACAGATCAGTGTGGAATCATTACCCACCTGGTTTCTCATGGTAGCGAACAATTCAAGTGCCAACACTGTCACATGTTGTTTGACTCTAGATCAAAATTGCAGTGCCACTTTCAATTGCATATTCAGAGTAGCAGCCCGACTATCCAAAATCAAATTCTCACAGGTGAGAAACCTTACAAGTGTGAGCAGTGCCCCAAAGCATTTGCTCGGCTTGCACACCTTTCCGACCACGTTCGAATACACACGGGCGACAAACCTTATAAGTGCAAGCAATGTGCCAAAGCTTTTGCTTGGAGTAGCAGTCTGACCATTCACAATCGAACACACACTGGCGAAAAACCTTACCAGTGTGAGCTGTGTCCCAAAGCATTTGCTGGAAAAATTAGTTTGAATGACCACATTCAGACACACACGGGCAAAAAGCTTTATAAATGCCAGAAATGCCCCAAAGCCTTTGCTCGGCTTGCACACCTTACTGACCACATTCGAACACATACAGGCAATAAACCTTATAAGTGCAAGCAATGCCCCAAAGCCTTTGCTTGGAATAACAGTCTGACTATTCACAATCGAACCCACACTGGGGAAAAACCTTACAAGTGTGATCTGTGTACCAAATCATTTGCTGGTAAAGCAACTCTGACTGACCACATTCAAACACACTTAGGCAAAAAACATTATAAATGTGAGCAGTGTCCCAAAGCCTTTGCTCGGCTTGCACACCTTACTGATCACAGTCGAAGGCACACAGGCAAGAAACCTTATAAGTGTAAGAAATGCCCTAAAGTCTTTGCTTGGAATAGCAGTCTGATCATCCACAATCGAATGCACATAGGTGAATATCCTTACAAGTGTAAGATGTGCCCTAAAGAATTTTCTCGACTTGCACAGCTCACTGGGCATGTCCGAACACACACAGGTGAAAAACCTTATAAGTGCAAGCAATGTTCGAAGGCATTTGCTCATAATAGCAGTCTCATCGTCCACACTCTAATGCACTCGAATGAAAAACATTACTGGTGTAAGATTTGCCCCAAAGAATTTGCCCGGATGTGTCACTTTATTGAGCACAATCGAATACACACAGGTGAAAAGCCTTATAAGTGCAAGCACTGTTTGAAGGCATTTGCTTATAATAGCAGTTTGACCATCCACAATCGAATGCATGCAGGTGAAAAACCTTTCAAATGCAATCAATGCCCCAAAGCCTTTACTCGGAACAGCAGTCTAACCAGCCACAATCGAACACACACGGGTGAAAAACCTCACAGGTGTAAGCTGTGCTCCAAAACATTCGCTCGGCTTTCACACCTTACTGAGCATGTGCGAACTCACACAGGAGAAAAACCTTTTAAGTGCGAGATATGTCACAAAGCCTTTGCTCAGAGTAGCACTCTGACAAGCCACAGTCGAACGCACACGGGTGAAAAAGCTTACAAGTGCAAACGATGCCCCAAAGCATTTGCTCAGAAAATGAGTTTGATCCTCCACAGTCGAATGCACATGGATGAGGTACTTTCCAGGTGTAATGCAGGTTTTCCTCCTATATAGGAAGCTATGTCTCAAGCTAGCAGTGGTCTATGGTAGGTCAGTCTTCAAGGTTAACATTGTTTAAAAATGTTTTTTTGCAGTTCACAGCAGCTAAAACTTATTGTTCTGCATCCAAGAATGAACTAAGCCATGCTACTTTTGCTCATATTGCAAGGTTCATTGCACTGTACTAGGCTTTTTTAGCGTGGTCGACTGAATTTGTAATCATGTTTTATTGTGGCTGTTTGCTTTTATTTGGTTTTCTTTTTTTGCATGAATGAAACAAGCTCTTTGAAATAAATGTATCACAAGACCAGTAGTTTTGTTGTTTGTTGCTTGTAAAAGGGGCGGTTTGAACTGCCACCATGCTTTTTTCAGCTATACAGATCTTGCTTATCTCAGGTAATGCGATGACACTGACAATTTTGGCATAGTTCTTTCGGTTTCAATTAAATTTGTACTAGGCTGATAGTTTATTATTTTAGTAACATAGGTTATCTCCCCAAACACGTGATAGCCAGTATGTGTACACACTGGCTCACCGGCATGTCACGTGCATGTTTGTGCTGTTGGTTCCCTCTCCTGCAGGTTTTGTTATAGACCAACAGCGTACCTATGCCGGTGAGCTGCTGCACCCTCCTTTTTCTGACATATTTGTCTTTGCGATTCTGCATTACTATGTACAAACTGCTTCATAGGTAGTTCCTTTCTGGCCAGAACGTTTTAGTTTCGGGTTCTATCGATATGGAATGCAGCAGTTTTTTGGCAACGCTGCCCATGTTTGGCTACAGTGGTTGGTATTGTCACTCCACCCCCCCTCCCCCCCTCCTCCGTTCTTTTCCGAGATGCTCAAAAAGTTGTATGCTGATCATGCCTGGAATCATTTTCTGCTCTATGTTGCATTTTTGAGACCCTGCAGCCTGAGAAGTAACCGGGCCAGAGCCAATCCAAAAAACAGTTTTCACTATCTAATTGAGTTTTAAAAACCCTGATCTGAAAGCTTTTCGGCCAGCTGTTTTGATGCTAGGGCAATGCCTTCGCATGTTTGCACTCCTTGTTCTTTGTAATGAAATGAGTCATTTATGTGGGGATGTGGGTTTCAAAATGGGGTGCATTGGAAGTTCGTAATTCTTCTTGACGGAGGAAGATCCGTCCCTACCGTAGGGCAGAGTGCCGTGTAGAACAAGACTATCCTCTTCGTCGACCACCAGTCGCTTGGCCTCATCGCCACAGCTAGTCGGAAGATGATGGGATGTTCAACTCCACAGTTAATTATGCCTTGCTTCTTGGGGGCATTCCTTTGAGCTAGAGTTTTTACACTCCTTTTGGAAATGACATGTTTGTCCTGATGCTTTTGGTCGTAAAAGCGGGTTGCTGACTTAAAGCTAACCTTATGCTCTTCGTTACAATACCAAAAACATGCATATATTAGAATTGCTCAGGGTACTGCACATTTGAGCAGTTAAAAATTTCCGATGTTAAATATTTTTCCTATAACAGCAGGTTGGGATTCATTCAGTTTTGAAGGGGTGGTTTACTTTCTTCGATGATATGAGCTTTGCGGTTAGCACAATGGGATTCGTATAAACTGAGGCATGGTACAACCATCATAAACACATATCATTTAAGCTTTGAGCTAGGATGTTGTGGCTCACAGGGTAGTAATATACAGAGGCAGGGAAGAGGGGACTACCGTATTTACACGAATTTAAGTCTACCCTTTTTTCAATCCTTGAAAAGCTGAAGTGCGGGGGTCGACTTATAATCGAACCAAAGCATTCCACCGCCGGCAAAAATGAAACAATCGCAATATCATGGACACCTCGGCTTGTTACGAGTTCAGCCGGCTGTACCTCTGGCATTGCACTGTTCTGTGCGCTCATTTTACAAATTAATTATTTTTAGGGGCGAAGCTCCTTAGGGTCTAGCCTTGTCCGTCCGGCGTCCGTGCTCACATCGATCTTGCTGGTGCTCGTGCTCGTGAGCTCACGTGCTCACGTGCTCGTGTAGTGCAAAAAAAATGATGAAAAAAAAATGTTTGTGCAGTCGACAGGATTCGAACCTGTCAAGTTTCGCCGCTGACTACAGCGCCATTCCAGCCCCTGGCGGTACGCCCAAATCCGAGTGGCTCGTTTTTCGCCTCGCTTCTCCGCCGTAGGCGCCGCCATGGGACATGGAATCTCCGGACGTGCGCGTACCCGCCTCTTATTATTCTTTGTTTCTGAAACAAAGTTTGGGAGCCGGTAATTCCAAGGGTACCTCATTTTCGCAAAGTACACGTTATTCATGCGGCACTTTTGTGATGTCCATTCTCGCACCAACCCAGTGCACTGTTCACACGGTGATGTCGCTGATCGACTATGGATTGAGGAGGGTGAGTTCTTGGCCTGTGGGTTTTGGGGAATGTTTACCGAGTAACACTTTTGCTTTTCTTAGGAACTGAAACCTTCAAACCGTAAGGATGGGAAGTGCTCTCCAGGAAACGTTACAACCTTGAAGCACTCCCCAGACAAGTACTTCTGAAACTTTTTGACTCCAAACACAACTGCTAGCACCTCTGTCTTGATGTGGGCATATTTACGCTCTGCAGGCGACATCGATCTAGATGCAAATGCAGTTGGTTTTTCGACACCGTCTACAATATGGGACAAGTCCGCGCCAAGACAATACGCCGATGCGTCAAATGTCAGCTGAATCTCTTTGTGCACATCATACAGCTCCAAGATCTGGCTCTCACAAAGAAACTTTTTACACGCGTTGAAGCCGTTAGCACATTGGCTTGACCATTCCCACTCATCGCTTTGTCGCAGAAGGACGTGCATAGGCCCAAGCAGTGTAGCCGAATTTGGCGAAAATCATGCGCAATAGTTTACAAGGCCTATAAATGCCTGACGCTGAGTCAGGTTTGTTGGTTCGGGGGGTTTGGGAATCGTCTTCACTTTTTCTGCTGTTGGATGTAATCCCCTACTATCCAGCATGTCTTCTAAGTACTGTACTTGGCTCTGAAAGAACTTGCATTTCCCAACATTAACTCGGATTCCGTGAGCGCTCAGGCAGCACCTGCTCCACGTGAGTGTTGCATGCTTTGTGGTCTTTGCCAGCTACGAGCACATTATCCAAGTATCAGGCGGTACCAGGTTTACCTTTTAGGATCTGGCCCGTGAATGCCTGAAATACGGCGGGTGCACTTGCTACCCTGTACGGCAATCTCCGGAACCTGAGCACGCCCATGTACGTTCACACTTAGCAGCTCTTGTGCTTTCTAGTCGAGTTCGAGTTGCAAATAGGCTTTGGGAAGGTCCAGTACTCTGATACAGTGCCACCAACTAAGGACGCAAAAATGCCCCCAGGGAAAGGCAAATGGTAGTGATCTACTTTTATGCTGGGGTTTAAGGTCACCCAATAGGCACCACAAAGCCGCAGTGCTATTTTTCTTTGGCACTACGACAAAGGGCGTACGTAGCCCAGGCAGTGTGTCTCACTTGAAAGATGACACCAGCTTTTTCTAAGTCTTTGATCTTCTTCTCAACCACCTCCGACGGAGCATATGGGACTGGTCTCGTCTTACAGAACAGGGGGTTAGCATTCTTGCGCACAACAATGCTAACCTGAAAACCTTTAATCGCGTCATACCCTGGTTCGAACACATCAGGGAACTTTTCTGTCAAGAATTAATTTTTGTCAAGAGATTTGTTTTCTCTCCTTGTGAATTCACCAGCACGAGCTTGGGCCAGTGTCTGATTTTGGCAAGCCAATCTCAGGCAAGAAGAGTCGGCAAGCGTCCCTCAAACCGTTTCTTCTATCACTAGCGGCAAGTGGTACGTCTGACCATTGTACTCTACTCCGATTTTTACGCTACCTTTCACAGGCACTGCTGTTCCTTGTACATAATAAGTCGCACATCCACATCGGGGCACTCTACACCGGGGAAGTGTTTCATAAACTCCCGCTCTGCCATTAGCGATACAACCGAAATGGTGTCCAGTTCCATTGGAACCTCTATTATCTGTACCATTCATGCTTACAATTACAAAAAAACGCGGGACTGCTTGTGACTCGGTTGAGGGCTATGACAGATAACAGGTCTATCTCTGTTTTTTCTGATCTTTCAGGTTCTGACTATTTGCATGAAACGTTATGCACTGCTTTCCTTTTGCACATCTTAGCTACGTGGCCTTTTTTAGAACATTTAAAACACCCAGTGTACAAGAATGGACACGTTCCGGGAAGATGCGAATCTACGAATCGAGAGCTATTGGTACCGGGAGTTTTTCGTCGACCATTTTTATCAGCTTTCTTGTGATTGATCCTGCGTCCGCTGTTCTGCTGCTTGGTACAGCCTTGCTCGCTTGGTTTGTTGAACCTGTGTTGCCAGTTCACGTCGGCGGTGGACGCTGGTAGCATGTCCTTGATGTTCTTGCTTGTTTCTTCCATGGCTGTTGCCACGTTGAAAACGCGCTCCCACGTGATGTCCTTGTCGTCCATGGCAAGCAGACGGCAGCGAATGTCTTCGCTTCGGAGCCCGGCACTAAACCGGTCTCGTAACGTCTCCTCCAGGAAAGTGTCGAAAGCGCAAGTGGCTACTAATGTCTTCAGTGCGACGACGAAGTCCGAGATGCTTTCTTCGGGACCCTAGTCACACCAATTAAATCGGTAACGTTCCGTGACGACCGATGGTTTTAGAGCCTAGTTCTTTCGTAGCACCGCAACTGCCTCGTCATATCCGGCTTCCGTCGGCGTTTTCGGTAGAAGTAAGCTGTGAAGCGTCACGTATTGAGGAGTTTCAGCGACGGTGTCACCGCCCTGGCGGCCGGTCGCCGAAGGAGAACGAGGGGGATAGGTTCGCTGGGCGTCGGCTTGGTGTAAATGCGTTGGCCGCGATCGTAGGCTTATAAACTTCGGCAGCAAGAATATTACGCGGCTTTAGTGTTCCGGTACGAGCAACAGAGGTGACACAATCTGCTGCGACTAGCTACGACCACCCGCCGCAGCGATGCAGGCGTCGAAGGAGCGCAACCTGTGTACTACGCACTTAGTCGCCGTCGCCCGCCCGACGCAGGTCGTTTGGCATTCAGGGCGTTCCGCCCCAGGTTCTTCGTATGTACTTGGAACAGAGTATTATGCCCTGTGCTTGTGTCTGTGCTCAGTGGCTGGATATGGACCTCAAAGAGCAGTTCTTCAGACTCAACAGCGACTCAAAGTTGACGGCGGAGGGGCTTGCAGCAACGCTTTCGGTTGGTGTACAGGTGCGACGACTACACGGATCAATTTTAAGATTGCTGCTAGCAAGGTGGGCCATAGTCGCTTTATGTTGACACGATTTTGAGTGTAAGTACTCCGTGCAAAGGCGAATCTATCGCGTTTCTAATCCACCTTTGTTTTTGTTTTTCGCACGCACGACCGACTGCTAAGCAAATGCTTCTGTACCGATCACGGGGTGAATGTCTTCGGCCTTACATTGCGGAACACCCAATAAAAAATCATATTCGTTCAGCGAGAAAACTCC